CCGCTGGCGCGCGCTCGCTGCCTCGCGCTGCCTCGCGCTCGCTCGGCACCCCCTCGCTTACCCGCCCCCCCAGCGCATGACTGGGGAACGCAGTGAGGAGCGGTTCCAGTCTGTACTCCCGGGCAGCTATAGGCTGCCACAGGATGTGCTTAAGCAAACAAAACTACTTTTTCTCGTCCCCATCCCCCCAGCCCCCACCGCAGTCCTTCGTGGACCTTGTGGGAGGATTTGGGCAAGTTTACGGGGCTGGCCCCGCACCTCTCAGAACGTGGTGCGGGCACACCAGGGACCCAGGATAATGCCTAGGGGGAAATTTGCATGTATGCAAATGTGTGAAAAATCCAGCCTCCTAGGTAACTTTTTTCCCCTCTGAAATGCGGTATAGCTCAAAGCTTTGTAAGCTCGCCAGTGGAGCTTTCTATGGGAATAGATTCGTCGGCAGACGTAATTATGCACAAAATCCCGAAAACTTTGTACAGCTTCAGTCCTGTGGCATTCAGAAGCAGGAGTTGGGGAGAATCATTTCACATAGAAGATTCACCGGATTGGGGGAGTGGGAGTGAGTATGGGGAGGGGGGGGAAAGGATGGCTAATAAGCATTCTCCCTCCCAGGGCTGTGAAACTAGTGGGTTTGAATACAGACACCATACAAAAAGTTCTATCACATTTAGAAACAACAATAAAAGGGGGGGGTGGAATTGTGAAAAGGATGTACCCTTAGGGGAGAGACGTATCGTAGTCCACAAACTCATGTCCAGAACTAGACATAGTTCATCACTACTTTCTCTGTTCAAGGAGCACCTTTGGAAAGGTGCCTTATAAGAATCCCCTTTTTTCATCCCCCAGGTAATGGTTCTTAAAATGGAAAAGAGCTTCCTGCAATTATTTTAGGTTTGCTAAAAGTATTGTTTTGGCAGAAAAAAGGGGGGTGGTTTTTAGGGTTTGGCAAGATGCCAGTAAGCCTGCTTTTCCAGTTTTTTTTTTACCTCATTTTTTCCCCCTCTAGGCTCTCCTGTCTCCTGGAAAGTATACCTTCCCTCGTCCAAACTCTCATCCCATCTCTCCCGCCTCTTCTCCTTTACTCCACTCTGCAGCCTGCAACATTTGCATGACCTTCTCAGAATTCCAAAAGGAAGAAGGAGGTTATTACATTGAAAGACACTGGCCCACAGACAAGAAAATGTGCACCTGGATGGAATTTATTTAGCTAGAGGGTCTCAGACAAGAAGAAATTTCTATAGGAATGTCCACTCTGTTAGTGAGAGTGATGAAGTGATGTGTTAAGACGACACTTGGGCAGATCTAGAAAAGAAACAAAGGTGAGGAGTACGAAATACACTACTGGAGGAAAAGCAAAATAAATTCCCCTGAAATAGTCTACATCTGTCTAAAGTTATTTGTGTGCATGTTCTTCATGAATTTATTACTAAAACAATACCCAAATTTCGTAAGAGACAGTCTCACGCCCTTCCCCCCGCCCCCACCCCAAAATCCTTGAAAATGTCACAGACTCTTTTCTAAGGGGTTAGGGGAAATGGCTGAAGACTTTAATGGAAGAGCCCCGCTTTATTCTATCTAAACAACTGCTTCTCTTTGGCTTCTCTTGGTTTTCAGCGGAGGAGAAAAGTCCCAAAAGCTAAGCCGAGTAACAGAGACAACATCCTGGCCACGAAAAATCTTTGCTGGGATCTATAACTTCAATGCTCTCCAAGTTTCCTCGATAGAAATTTCTGGCTGACAGTACCAACATGTAACTGAGGCACAGTGAGAAGTTATTGTTCCGAGTCTGTACTCAGGGGAAGCTCTCTTCTAGAGCAAATTAAAATCTTACTTTCAGTGTATTAAAAGATACATTTCACATCTGCATTTTTCCAAAACAGTACAGATTCTTGCTTTTAGATGTTTCTCAAGGAAGGGGGAGGGGAGAAGAATTGGCACGTCGCCCTGTATTTTTTTTTGTAATGGGTAAAAGTAATTTAATGCTGATATTTCAACTTTTAAAACTTCTTTTGTTGCAGCAGTCGATGTGCCCGCGATTTCCAGCTTTTTGCGGTTAGCAATATTATCTTAAGTAACTTTTGGCGCCCTTCTTAAGACTTTTGGATACGGGACGATTGTTTGCGCCCTCTAGGCAAGGGCTGGATCCAAGTTCAGCACCAAAGCCCTTCACATCCGCTCCTGCTTTCTCTCCTATCTCCGCCAGCTCCCGCTCCCCTCCCCCGCGGAGGAGGGGGGCAGGCGGGGGAAACACACTACAAAGCACAGTTCCAACTACAGCCTTTGGAAACAAGACAGAAAATACAGTAGAAGAGTTACAGTTTTACAGTTACAGAAAGGCTTCTGGTAACTTTCTCTCCAACAGACATAAATTTAAACAGAGAGAGAGAGAGAAGAGAGAGAAAAGAAAGAGAGAGAGAGAGAGAAACAGAAAGAGAGAAACAGAGAGAGAGAAACAGATGTTCCCTGAAAGGGCACTCTGGGGGTAAAAAATATTTTCTACTCTTTCTCCTCTGCCCAAGTTGCAAAAGTAAATCCTTGTCCAGAGTTCACAAAGAAGGTGAGACACTCTAGAGAGCTAAGGATGGGGCCATGAGGAAAGAAAGAAAGGACAGTAGAAAGCAATATGGGAGACACAGGTAAAGTACGAAAACTAGTTTACTGCAATCATATAAATGACCCATTGTTAGGAAGGAAGGATAAACCCCTTATTGGAAATAACCGCTCCAATCATTTATTTTGCAAGTGTTAGGAGGCTGCCTTGAAATGGGATTGTCTCTGCGCAAAGGAGGCTGCTGTCATGCTCTCTGCTATCCATATTCTTCTTGGCACAAAGCCCAGCCTTGCATTTACTGTGTTTTATTTGCAGAAACGTTACCTTGCCAGCTTTAGTGAAATCCTCTTAGATATATAAATTACGTCAATAAGGTTTCACTTATATGTACATCTCAAATACCTCTCATTTCAAAGGTTACTTAATAGGAAGATCTTATTAATATGATTTAAATTTTAATGCCCGAAGAAGTAAAGGTAAAACTGGGTTCCTAAGTGACAACACCATTAACTCTGTAGTTCTTACCCAGACTAACTTTATTAACTAGCATTTTCCAACATTTTTCTTCTCTGGCATTTGACCTGTTGGTCACTCATGTGCAGATTTTTTTCTTACATGTATATAATCCTAAATTGAATCATTTTACTGAACTAAGCATCCAAGTGGGCTTTAATTTCAAATTTCCAAACTGGATTTGATTTGAAGGCCCAAAGCCTAGGAAAATAGCTCAATGGGAACTTAATCCAAAGATGGGTAAGAGCCCATATTATTGTCCATTTACTTCCCAACAAAATTAGGTGTCTACATTGCTCATCGAGAAGGAGGACATGGACATATTTTAGTCCGAGGCTGCCACTTACTGTCTCCCAGACAGGCTACTGCAATTGGTTTCCACTGGATTGGTGTCAAGGACTTGTCTAAGGCCAGACTCCAGCTAAGAGCAAGTCAGCAATCTTCCACATTCAGAAATGTCATAGAAGTTGTGGTAACACGGAGAAACGTGAACCTAGCCAGTCTCATGGTCCTGTTTACTACTGACCATATATTTAAACAGCAGAATCCAAGAAAAGCCAAGAAAAACCATCCCACCATCCCCCTCATGCTTCCAAATGTATAAAACAGCTGTCAGGCCACCTGTGAAACACTCTCTCCCTCAAAACTGTTGTTTAAAGTTCTAGAGGAGAGGCTCACTCATTCCTTCAGAGGACTTGAAAAGCCAAAGCACCTATGATAATCAAAGAGAGGTGTTTTGTAATGCTGACTGTGCATTATGCTACTTCCCAATGCTCTCTACTGCCCCACAACTCCGTCACGTTTCAAAGTCACGCCTTTCTTAAAGAACTTGAACTTCACCTTCCCAGTTAACAACGTCGCCAGATTTAAAAATAATTAATTCAAAGTTAAACATTGCTCTAACAGAACTTTCCTGACTTTCTCCAAAGAGCCATGAAGAAGGCATAAAATTCATGCAAAATTTCCTGGTCAGCTCTTTTGTTTCTTAAAGTCGAAAACTCTTTTCTTTTGTGCTTGCTAAATCCGGAAGAGCCCTGTAGGTTTGACAGCTTGAAGCACACCAGCCCCCTCAGAGCCGCAGAGAACTTCAGATGTCCTCTGCCCCGCCCCCTTTGGCTACTGCGAACCATTGTACAGCCGAGCTTCCTCATGATTGGATAAAGCTTTTGTCAATCTCCTATGTTTGTCCCATTGATTAGGGGATCGAATCGTCAATTATTCTCCGGGTCCAGACATTTCTTTACGGGTTAGGTTGACTGCTGAGGCCAGACGTCTTTTTACAGAATCAAGCACGTATGGGATTTTTCTCCCCTCCCTTTCTAGAACCGAGCAAGCGCTGGGCGGGGGGTGAAAATCTGTCAAGCTCAGCAGTTTTTTCAAATCCTGAAGGGGAAAAAAAAAGGAAACAAGGTCTGATGCACGCTGCAAAAAAGCCATCCGCAAAGCTACATCTTTAAAACAAACCCATCACAATAGACATTTATCCAGCAATCACGTAAATGCATATGCAGTGCAAACTAAAGAAAATGTTAAAGTCTTAACCATTAAGCAAAATCATTCTAGCATTATTGTTGTTTATAAAATGCACACCGTATAAATGCAAAATAGAAAGTTTAAGATGTACCACGTACCATTGCAACGTAAAAAGAGTACGTGAAAACTTTAAAATGCTCAGACGAATTGCTTCATTTGTTGTCACCTTTTTTTAAAAATGCATTAAAGCAAAAATCTACATAAACTTGGAACCGTTGAAAACCCGGAAGAGATTTTTTTTTA